CGTCTAGAGATTGGGAGAAAACCACCTGCGCTATGGTTTTGGTGGGATCACTTACTAGCTGTACCACTGGGCAACTTCTACTTCCTCCTCACACTAAATTTAACTTCACAAGGTGGCTCTGTGGTGAGTTCAATGAGAACATACCTTAAAGCACATCCTACGTCATCAAGTGGCACTTGAGAAGTTTGGTTTTATTTTTTTAAATATTTTATTAATTTATTTGCTTAAGAGAGAGTGAGTGAGCATGAGCGGGGGGAGGAGCAGAGGGAGAGGGAGAAGCAGGGAGCCCGATGCAGGACTCAGTCCCAGGACCCCGGGATCATACCCGAGCTGAAGGCAGATGCTTAACCAACTGAGCCACCCAGGTCCATGAAAAGTCTGGTTTTAGAAAGGCACATGTTGGGGCACGTGGGTGGCTCCGTCGTTAAGCATCTGCCTTCAGCTCAGGTCATGATCCCAGGGTCCTGGGATCGAGCCCCGCATCGGGCTCCCTGCTCAGTGGGAAGCCTGCTTCTCACTCTGCCACTCCCCCTGCTTGTGTTCCCTCTCTCGCTGTCTCTCTCTCTGTCAAATAAATAAATAGTCTTTAAAAAAAAAAAAAAAGAAAGGCACATGTTCCAGGTAGAAAGTGGGAGTGGCTCGAAGTCCCAGCCCTGCTACTTAAGCATTCGAGCTTGAGTAAGTAAGCCATTTCCCATCTGCAACATGGAGCCCAACAGACTTTGATTTCAAATCTCATATTAGGCCCTTATAAGCTCTACTAGAGCTGAGTCTGAGTGTCCTCATCAGTCCTAAGACATAATAATTCATACCTTGCAGGATTTTTGTAAATATACAGAATGCACAGGCAAGTGCTTCGGGCCATACCCGGCACATGGCAGGTCCCATTATTACAGGTAGATATTCCCAGGCCTGTGGCAAAAGTCACTATGCAGCACATGGTTAGAGCCAAGGATGCAGATATGCAAGCACCACTTTTAACCAGCATTTGCAAATAGAGGAGGAGAAGTCATTTGCAAGTCGGGATTCCAGATGCAGATCTGGAAGAAGTTAGTAAAAGGAACATAACAGCCAAGAAAGCTAACAGGTTAGTCCTTAAGGAGAAGAAAGGCAGCAGAACCAGAGTAATACAGGTTCCAAATGTCCAAGGGAGAGAGTTCGGGAAGTAAGGCAGCTGTGCAGTGAGGGTACCAACAGGTCACTGTTTAAGAACCCCTTCAATACCCTCAAGTTGTAAGATGAGGAGGAGAAACTCAAACAGCTTTTCCAGGGCTAATTTTCCTAAGGACGCTGTAAAATCATGTAGCCAATTCGGAAGTGAGGGCCAACTACAGTACTTTTGTCTGTGATAAGACTGTGGCAAATGATTTGTTTTTAGGAAAGTTTTTGGAAAGTTTTGGGTTTTATTGTTTTTGTTTTTAGTTTTTAGGAAAAAGCAGAACAATTGAAAGTAAGCAGGAATGAAGTCAAATGCCAAGATGAACATCAATCAAACAGGGGCGATGAGGAATCATCACATACAAAAGCATGAGACTGGGGCTTGAGTATCTGGGGCCTCTGTAAGGCCACAGATTTCATCAGAAGGTGGTTAGTCCCTGGTCACCTCCAAGAGATCAGTTTCATTCTCAAGAGACAAATACTGAAAGCCTACTATTGGCAAGGCTCTCGTCGGTGGCCCAGGGAATGCTGATCACATACAAACAGTCACTGCCCTACAACCCAACCTTCTGCTGCCTGGTCAGCCTCTCTGCATGCCTCTGGGCAACCAGCCCTCTACTAGTTGGAGCCTACACTGGTCCCCCACACCAACTCCTAACGGGGTTCTTGCCCTGAGGCTGCTGCCATAAGCTTTACGGGGCAACCTGGGAACCGATCTGCCTCAGTCTGGGGGCTGTGCCTCCTATCAGCCAAGAGCAAATCTTGCAAGGGTCTGTTTCCCAAGTTTTCCACAGTGAGTTGAAATTAAAATATAACTGAGAAAACACTTAAGAAAAGAAACAGATGGATTTAGAAAACTCTGGTCAAAAAATAAACAAAAGGAAGGTGCTGGGTGAGGTCAACAGGTGGGCAGGGCAGAAGTCGATGTTGTTGCTGTTTTGTTGGAGGACTGGGGACACGTGTGCATAGCTAAAGGGAAAGTGGGAATTCTGCACAGTAGGACAGAGCTTCTCAAAGTCATCACCCAGGGATGTTATCCAAAGGCAAGCTGCGATTCAATAGGTCCAGGTTGGAGGCCCAAACCATGGTGCGGTGATTTGTGGAGCCTGTTTAGTTCCTTGGTATAAATACTCCCACCATGATGATTTCAAGCTACCAACATGAGGTCACTGGACACAGAGTTGGGAAGAGATGCACACATTCAGCTGGAAAGGCAGTACAAGCTGGCCCCAGCACACCCAAATCTCTCCATTTCCAACAAGCTCCTGGGTGATGCAGATGCTGCTGGTCCACGGACCATATTTTGAGTCTCAAGAGAACAGAAGACAATGAAGGTGTCTGGGGCTTAGGCCAGAATAAAGGAAATGTGAGATAAATGAGAAGAGCGAAGAGAGACATCACTTAGCTCAGGGTTTCTCGAGCTCAGCACTGTTGACATTTGGGGCCAGATAACTGTTTTGGGGGCCTATCCTGTACATCATAGAAGGTTCAGCAGCATTCCTGGCTTCCACCCACTGAGGCCAGTACATCCTCCTCCAGCCATCACGATCCAAAAGGTCTCCAGACAGCACGGATCTGGAGTCATCTCTAAGAAATAAAGGAAGAAGGGAAGGGTGGTACCTCTTACACCGAGAAAAAAGAGATAATGAAGAGGAAAAACAAAAGGAAAAAACATAAGACATCTCCTTACAAAAACAAAAACCACCCCATCTCTTTTGATAGTAGCAGGCTCAGCCAAGTAGAAAAGAAACTATATATTTAGAAAGAATGCAGGGAGGATTGAGTTTAAAACATCAGGAGAGTTCTGGAGGGTCAAAGAAAGGTTCTGACCTAAGACAATGGGTCCATTGACTAAGAAGTAGGATCAAGGCCATCTTGGGCTCTTAGACTGGAATAGCTTGGGTTCAATCCTGGCTGTACCATTTACTAGGTGGGTGATCTTGGGCAAATTGTTTAGCAAATATAAGCCTTCCTATATGAAAACTTCATGGAGTTGTCGTAAGTCCTGAGATAATACGGGTTAAGTTCTGAGCACAGGGTCTGACATATACTACATGCTCAATTAACGTTAGCTCCTACTATGACCAGCATCATTATTTTCCTTAAAAAACATCTGCTTCACTTGGCTCCTGCTTACATTTCTTCGATGAAATATAACACATGGAAGATCTTGCCTGGCGAGGCGTTACTTGTCACTGCTTTTTACAAATATTGTACTCCTTGTGTGAGCAGAAACTGTTTGCAGCTGAAGAGGCATTAAAGTTGTGAGAGCCAACCAAGCACTGATTGGCTGATGTTCCAAAAATCACAACTAACGAGACAAGGTAAACGCGAATGAAAAGCCAATAAATCAAGAGAAAGCAAAAAGGACATTAAATTTTCACTGAAACTGGCAGGTTCTCATAGGGCTCCAGTTAGCGTCAGGAACATGTGATGAATCCTCAGGCAGCTGCCAAGGATGACAGGTTTATAAGAACCAACCTGACTTCAAGTTGTTTATCCTACAGTAACAGTAAATGTTGCTGCTGGTTTTTATCTAAGTCAAGAGCTGATTAAACCACAGAAACCTGTCTGTAAGAATCTCTGTAGATGTTCGAATTATCTGTCTGCAGTCTGGGATGTTTAGCGATATCACAAAGTACCTTCTTTCAGACTCTAGGACATCCTGAGAACATATTCCAAGGGTGCTGCATTTTTCTCACTAAAATTCTTGGGAGGCTATAAAGGGTTCTGTCTGTCCCGGGCACAACTGACCAATAAGGGAAGGGCAGCATTCTAGGTTTTAAATAGCTTCTGAGTGTCAGGGGAGGATAGCTCTTCTCAACCAGAACAATTAAAAACCCTTTAAGGGAAATGCAGAGTGCTTCAGAGAACATGAATAGAGTCCATTCTAACATGAAACTCATCAAGATGAGGAAGTTATTAAAATCTTTCCTCTGTGATGTGAAAGGTACTTTCCCTAGATAAGATTCCTTCAACCTAGCCTAATATCAAGCATTTTCATTAGCAAAAACAAAAGGGGCAAACATTATCAAGCATTCCAAGCTTATCGGCTGTCTGTATGGGGCGAATCACTGGGAAGAACTGTGAATGTCATCACTCTGCAGGTGGCCAGGAGTCAGGGTACTCCAGCCAGCCACAGCCAACCCCAGTTCCAAGTTTTCCCAAAATAGCTATGACTTACATACAAGTGCTCATCAAACACCTCACATACAAACCCTCTGAGTGCTGCGAGAGTGGTCACTACTCAAACTGTGGCAGAGGTAAACCAAGATGCTGTTGATGAACAGGCGCACGGTCCCCGAACAAATTTAAATATGACCTACTCTCCCTTAAAATAGCCTCTTCTCTAAATCAACACAACTATCTCAAAACTCGGATTTTTCCCACCTGTTTCGAAGTCACCGTCCTAAAAACAAATAGAAATGACCGTGAAACCAGAGAAAATCCTGACTCAGATTCCAATAGGTATTTGTGAACACCTAACAACAGCATCTCCATTAGAAATCGGCAGCACGTGAAGTACCATCCGTGTTACTTTCATTTTGGTGCCCAGGACCTGGAGGAGATTAGAAAGGAGATGTGTTCACTATACACCACGGGTCTCCTGTGAGCAGGAAAAGAATAAACAGGCACAAAAGGTGTCCCACGTGGAGGTATCTGACAGCTTTGTATGATAAATATGTTAATGAAATTCCTCGTTTCCAGACTCTCACTGTAATACTTGGCACAAGTCTCCCATTCGGTCTCGAAAAAGCACGGCAGTTGAGGGGTGAGGAGGTGGTGTTAAGTTCTAACTTTCCAAAGTAACATTAGAAGACATTCTCAAATTGCCCACTTACCAAGTTTCTACACACGGCATTATCAGCCTTTTGATTTTCTCCCAAACCAGTGTTTCACTCTCACCAACTTAGCCCAGAAATCCTTGTATTGATTTCAATCTCCTTAGATAATAGAAACAGGAAGGCATTTATGAGAATACCTTCTATTCAACGCGCTGTTTCCCTCCTTAAAAATCTACTGATGAATGCACCGGGCAGGCTGCTCGCAGTTTATTTAAAAAAGAAAGAAAGAAAAGAAAAAAAGCGGGGGTGCTGGGGTAAGGGAAGGTAGGGAGTGGTAAACAGGACCCCTGGTCTTTCACAAGGTGTTGATCAATCCCGGCTTTAAGTCAGGTAAGTTCGGTCTGCTTTAGACAGTTTAGAACAGTACTGCCATAAAAGGGACTTAAAACCAAAAACCACAAAGCCCAGCTAAGCTGCCCTCTTTGGAAGTTTCTCACCCAGGTCAGGGCCCAAGGGCGCTCCCCCTAAAGACCCCTGATGCACACCACCCCGCGTCCTGCCCTTTATAGCTGGCTCTCCAAAATACCTACTCCCCCCGAACTTCAGCTCGCCCGGGACCCGAGCCTTGCGAAGACCTCAGCCCCCTCCCGGGCGCCCCGCCCCCGCCCCCGCCCCCGCCCAGCCAGCCCCGGCGCCCTCCGCAGCCCCCTCCCGCCCCGCGCCCCGCGCCCCGCGCCCCGCGCCCCGCGCCCCGCGCCCCGCGCCCCGCAGCCCCGCAGCCCCGCAGGCCCGCCCGGGCCCCGCGCCGCTCCGGCCCGCGCCCCGCAGCCCCCTCCCCTCCCGGGACCCCGAGCCACCCCCGGCGCCCGCCCGCCGCCGCGGGGCCCACCGAGCCGTGTCGGTCGGCTGCTCCGGCCGCGTCGTCCTGCTGCAGCTCCGCAGTCATGGCCGAGGCGCCCCTCCGCGGGTCATCCGGCTCTCGCCGCCGCCGCCAGCCCAGCCTCGCAGAGGGAGGAGGAGGTGGAGGCGGAGGAGGAGAAAAAGGAGGAGGAGGAGGAGGAGGAGGCCCCGCCCCGCCCTCCGCCCCGTTCGGGCCCCGCCTCCGCCCCGGAGCGCGCCGGAGGCTCAGCCCACATGCCCCGCCCCCGGCCTGCGCGCGCACGCAAGGCGCGCGGCCGAGGGCCGAGAGGTGCTGCGTGCTCCCGCGCACGCCGGGCTCGGAACCCGCGCGGGTCACGTGACCGCAGGCCCCGCCCGCGGCTAACGGTCAGTGGCACCGCCCCGGGACGTTTGCGTTCCGAGCTGTTGGCGCCCAGGAAATGGTCCTGGAAAGCGCGGGAGCTGCGCGGGCAAGTCCGCTTCTCGGCGCTCTGCCCTCAGAACCCACTCATCTGTGGGACTCGCTGCCGCCGCAAGCCTGCCCGCAGAGGAGCTAAAACTGCTCTCCGCCTGGGAACCTGTCTGGGGGCCGCGCACTGGAAGCTTTCCCACCTGGCCGCGCAGCCGCCTGGAAGTCCGGCGACAGGAAGGACTGCTGTCGTCCTCAAGGACGGGCGGAGGCTGAGCGCTGCGGTCTTTAACCCGACGGACCAGACCTTCTGAGCGGGGATGCCCGGCGTGGTACCCCAACACCCCCGGGCACGGGGAGCAACAGTTGCCGAGTTGTCCCATTTTCGGTTTTCTGCAGTTCCAACCACAGTTCTGTCCTATTTCGTTAAGTTTGAGCCAGATGCTATGACGGCATGTTAAGAGCTAAGATGACCCCCCCGCCCCGGCACCACACCTGAAATTGTATTTTCAACAATTTGGTGGAAATTTTAAATGTTTCACATTCGTGCACATGTATCAGGACGGCAATGCAGTCGGCACCCTTTGTCCCCAGTGTATGTGGAGGCCGGGTGTGGAGGAGCCTCTTTTAGGGGTAGGGTTATACCATTTTCCTGGCCCAGGGTCCCCGGCAGCGCCTTGGGTGTGAATTTGATACGGAGGGTGGCCTTTCCTGTGCGCCTGGCATTGTTGTCCGTGAGATTGTGATGTTTCAGCTGCAGGGCTTTCTAGCCTGCAAGTGAGCACAGCTGTGGCTCGAGGAAACAGGGAGGGCGCAGGGGCAGCTCCCCTGGAGGAGGAGACGTGGTGCTCTCCGGAGCCCGGGCCATGGCTCCCGCTCCTTCTTTCCTACCTGGAGACGCAGAGGTGCCCCTTTTCCTGGCAGGTAAACCGGCAGAGTGATCAGAATCTTGCACGTTCAACAGGTTGACTGTGTGTGTGTGTCTGATGGTTGCTGGACTTTTACGTTTGTCTTGGCCTTTTTTTTTTTTTTTTTTTTTCCCATGAGTAATCAAAAGCTGTGCTCCTGGCCTCAGTTCAGGGGTCATTGCAAAACAAGTTGATTTCTCAGTCTGGCTTACTTAGAGCATTGCATACTTCTAAATTACTAGAAAGTTCTATTTCTGTGTGTCTTCACCGTGTCTCAGGCAACTCTTGTTTGTCTTTGCACATTCATTTTAGGAAAGTGCGTATTTAATGTGAGTAAATGGGGTGGAAACCTGTAACTTACTCGTGAAAATTTCCTTAAAAGGCCACCAGAGACCACTTATACCCGTATTTCTGCAACAGATAGATACAGGCCATTTGATAAATATAGGCCCCTGAATTTTGATTAAGCGTCTTTCTGCTATGTGATTCTAAACAGAACTCCAGATCTAATATATGTGATAAAATCAATTTGAGGGCTCTGGATCTCATAAATCCTCTTAGCCTCCTTGGGCTTAACTACCACCTGATCTTGGACATGGTAATCAGCTAGAAACACCCTGTCCAACCAGAGTATTTCACGACCAATCTACGTCAGTGCTTGGCCATCAGTTGGCAAGTTTCAGGGTGATCAAATATCAAAAGTGGACATCATGGAACATGTGCTTTCGCCAAAGAAAATCCCTTCTTATTCCTCCTTAAAACCCATACATGAAGGTTCCAGAATAATTACATTATTAGCTGATAATCATGTCAAGAGTGTTCAGGAAGATAAATAATATTAATAAGGAACAATAGCAAGTAATTGACATATTTAAAAAGGGAATAGTTTTCAGAGTATTTTCCTGATGAAGAAATTGAATTTTTTTTTCTTTTTCTGGAAATTTGTCCCCATGCTGTTTCTTTTTCTGAGTCAATGAATTTATATTTTTGCTTCTGATTTACTCACACCCGAAATATTGTTTGTATTATAGCAAACTGATCCCATTTCAGTGTTATTGCATACTTGTGTGGAGCTTGTGTGGGATAAATGACAATGAAGAGGAAGCCTTAGGAAGAGAATAAAGGGCAAAGAAGGATATGTATACTTCTGTTCTCTGCCTCACTCTGTAACTAGTGCTTGCCACTGGCTTTGGAGGAACTGGATCTGAAAGCTGAAGGCTGAGGCTGATGGACAGGTATGACTGTTCTTTGAGCTATGGATTCCTTCCAGGAATGATGGAGTCAGAAATGTCCTTATGTAAGGGCCAGCTTCTTAGCAGTAGGAAAATGGCCTTTCTCACTATTTAGGAAAGAATATAGATATTTCTGGGGCGCCTGGGTGGCTCAGTCGTTAAGCGTCTGCCTTCGGCTCAGGTCATGATCCCAGGGTCCTGGGATCGAGCCCCACATCGGGCTCCCTGCTCCGCGGGGAAACCTGCTTCTCCTCTCCCACTCCCCCTGCTTGTGTTCCCTCTCTCGCTGTGTCTCTCTCTGTCAAATAAATAAAATCTTAAAAAAAAAAAAAAAAGAATATGGATATTTCTGTTATAACCCCTAGATTAAGGAATTAGATGATATACAAGGTTAAATTATAGGTGTTAATAAAGTGTTTCAGAAAAGGTTACCTTTGGCTACTTGAAAAGTAAATGCATTTCTAGCCTTCCTGAAATGTATACTGTAGGCAAATGTAGTTTGTGGAGAATCAAAACAACTTTCACTAAAGTGAGTGAGTTCATTTCCATTTTAGAGGTATTTGGCCTTGGTATTGAAAATAACAACCTCCCGTCCCCTTCTTTTTGTTTCTCTGGAAAATATAAACAAACACTAAAACAACAACAACAAACCCTCTTAAAATCTGTTTTCTTCAGAATTCATAAAAATCTTTAACTCGTGGGAGTCAGTTTTCCTTTTATAAGAAGGTGAAAATAACCTTAGCCTCCAGATTGAAAGGTGATAATAAAATAGAGAACCAGAAATAAGCCCATTTCTTCAAACTTGATTTTTGACAGCATTGTAGACCAATGGGCATAGGACAGATTTTTAACAAATGGTGCTCAGACAGCTAGTTTTCCATATAAAAAATTAATTTTGGACTCTTACATCATAAATAGAAATCAGTTTTAGGTGGATTAAAGACTTGAATGTAAAAATCAAAATTGAAAAATTTTAAAACACTCAGTTGGAAAATATATTTTGAGGTCAAGGGTACTTTCTTAAATCAGATGCAAAAAGTACAGTCCATAGAAGACAAGATCGATAACTTCAATTATGTTAAAATTAAGAATTTCTGTTCATCGGGGCGCCTGGGTGGCTCAGTCGTTAAGCGTCTGCCTTCGGCTCAGGTCATGATCCCAGGGTCCTGGAATCGAGCCCCGCATCGGGCTCCCTGCTCGGCGGGAAGCCTGCTTCTCCCTCTCCCACTCCCCCTGCTTGCGTTCCCTCTCTCGCTGTGTCTCTCTCTGTCAAATAAATAAATAAAATCTTTAAAAAAAAAAAGAATTTCTCTTTATCAAAAGGTGCCATAAAAAGAAGAAAATATCCACAAACTGGGAGAAAATATTTGCAACACATATGTGTAACTGATAACATTTTAGTATCTAGAACAAAATTTCCATACTTTGGCACTGGTAACATACTGGGGCAGATAATTCCTTGTTTTGGGGGCTGTCCTGCGCATTGTAGGATGTTTAGCATCATTTCTGGCCCCTCACTACTAGATGCCGGTAGCTCTCCGCTACCCACCCATAACCATCAAAAATGTCTCCAGACATTGCTAAATGTTTCTTAAATAGCAAATTCTCTTCCAGTTGAGAACCACCTATCTAAACTAGGTGAAAAACCCTTACGAAAGAGACAGTGCAATTGAAGAAAGAGCCAAAGGCTTCTGTAGGTACTTCACAGAGAAGGAAACTCAAGCATATGAAAAGATTCTAAACTCACCGATAACCAGGAACACAGGAATGAAAACCACAAAGATGCCATGTCATGCATACGATTGACAAAAATTTTAAGATACCACAATAACAAGTGTTGGCAAGAACATGGAGCAACGGGAGAACACCTGTATGCTGTTTGGTATTGTAAATTAGCACAACCACTTTGGAAAACAGTTTGACATCAAGTACTAAAGTCTGAAGTCGTGCATGCCTCACAGCCAGCACTTCCTAAGGAATATCCTAGAAAAGTTCTTAAACATTGTTACCAGGACATACGTACAGAAATGTTTGTAACACTTTTAATAGCAGATGAATGGGAATCAACCTAAACATATCAACAGTAAAACTAATCAACTTTTTGTGTCGTCATTCAATGGAAATGTATACAGCACTTAAACTGAATGAATTACAGCCATGCAATATCATGGATGAATCCCAGGAACATAGTGTTGTAGGGTAAAAACACATCACAGAAGATGGCATACAATATGATTCCATTTGTACAAATTACAAAAATTGTCAAATAATATATTGTCTAGGAAGATAAACACATGGTTAAACTACTAATAAGAGCCTGAATGTTATAAACACAAAATCTGGACTAGAAGCTCTGAGGGAAAGGAAGGGGAAGGGAAGGGAGGAGAAGGGACGTATAGGGGAATTTACAGATATTGGTAATGCTCTATTTTCATAAATCAAGTGGTAGATATATGAGGGTTCATCATATCATTTTACATACATTTTATTAACTGCTTAATAAAACATTGAAAGAACATTATTCTAAAATTAAGATCAAAAGCATACAATCTTCACTCTAATAATGTTTCTGTGCCTTCCAAAAATACAGAAAAACACAAGTCTCTGTAGTTTACAAAGATTACTCTTTTATGCTGGGTGATGCATGAGGCAGAGATTTAACATTCTGTCCTAATAAGTAGAAATTATAATTTGACTATCTTCAAGATAAATGAAAAATATTACCATTTCATTTTATGCAAATTGTGCCAAAAATCCAGATTTTAGGTGATGCCCAATGAGTTAGAAAGTCATTTTATAAAACATTTTCCCTTTTAGCTTCTAGATTTGGGGAAAGACTTCTGTGTCAAAGTTGGGGCCTCCTACAGAAACCAGAAATATGCTTTAAGATAAAAGCCAGAAAGCTACCCAGGAAAAGCAAATAGAAACTTGTATAATGCAGTAAGTACTGGAGCATAAATTGGAACTTAAGGTGACTTAATTTTTCACCCTAGACACCACTGAAGCGAAAAATCATTCTCAAAATATCAGAATTTGAAAAAATAGGTGAGGCAAGAGTAGCTAATACAAACTTGCCTTCAGAAATGCAAATGTTTTTACTGATCTGATACTTGACTCTGGAAGAAAAGAACATTTTTAGAGGAAGTAATAACTTTACTGAGCATTTATAGGCTAGGTGGTGTTCTGAGAACTTTGCATTTATGAACTCATCCTCACAATACCCTATGAAGTAAGTGCTATTATTATTAATACCTCGTTTACAAATGAGGAAACCACTACAGAAAGGTTAAATACTTTGCCCAAGATTTTTCTACTAATAAAGACAGAGCCATGATTCTAAGCTAAACAGTCTAGCTTTCTCTCTATAGGCCAAAGTAAAAAAATAGGATTCTGGATGAATAACTAGAAGAAACAGCCCGTAAAGATTTCTCTGAGGAGGTGCCATTTGAACAGTGTTGACAAAGGCAGAGGAAGCTGTGTAAGACAATGGGAGTCTTGGCGCTCCATCAAAGACTAGTTATAGGTGGAGTAACACAGGTCCCAGTTTGCCTGGGGCACTTACAGTTTACCCCTGTTTTCCCAGCACGATTATTAGTAGCTTCCCCTTTCTCAAACTTCTAGGTTTGGATGATAAATTGTATGGCCATTTTACTTACGGAGTTTATCTTGAGTGTAAGCAATTCCTAGAGAATCCCACCAAAGTCTTTGAGGTATAGCTAAAATGCAAATCTCTAGCCAAGTCTGATAAGTATGCCTCATTAACAAGAATCGGTTAATCTGTTTCTAAAGAACACAGCCAGGGGGAATAGAGGGCACCCCACTGAAAGTGCATGGGATCACTGCCTTGAGTCCCATGCCCTTAAGGGACGGTAGCTTTTTCAGTTTTGTAAGCCAACTTCTATGGCCTTTAAGGCCTACAGGTGCCTGGGAGCCATCCCTGGAGAATTGGAGGCAATGTAGAGTTAAAAGGAGGGAAAATCTTTGATGGTCTCTGCCAGAGGGGTAGAAGTTGAATGGGGGTTTTCCAACCCCTTGGGAGAAAAGAGTTTAGAGTTTCGGACCTGGGATGTTGAAGGTAAGAACTTTAAAATTCTGAAACAGTCGTTTGTTGTAGTATTTATTGTCTCCTCTACTTCTCCAGAGTAAAAAGAAACTTGAAACCAAAGGAACAGGGTGCTGAATAGATCATCTGGACTCTTCAGCCATTTTTGTGAGGAGCTACAACCCTATAGAGGGGGTGTCAGTTGCTTTAAGGAGTACAGGTAAGTATCGCGTTCCCCGAGCAGGCCGTTCAGAGAGTTGGTCTGTCCGTGCAAAACCAAGTGCTCTAGTACCAAGGAGTAAAAAAGATTTAGAAAAGTACTTAGCTTAAAATTATTAGTCGTGTTATTTGAAGTAGAGGATTCTCAACTTTTATTCCTACCTCATGAAAAGACAAGAAGTGATCCCAATAATTATTGTTGTATGTTAAATCTCATCATTTCATTGGCAAGACAAAGAGAATGGGACAATGGCAAAACCAACACTGACTTGATCATGGTGAGTAGGTCCATGATCTGGTTATAAGCTCATTGGGAGAACATGATGAAAATATTTTCAACGTTATGAAGTGACACTTAAATAGGTTTTGATTTTTACAAAAACTAAATCTGCATTGCTCAAACTGGATAGGATAAAGAGCCCCTTTTCTATCACTCTGTGACATTACCGAGTAAGCCTACACGTTCAGATCAGATTCTAAAGATTCCTGGGGGGAGGCTTCTTGAAACCAAAGTTTAACAGAAGTGACATTTTTGTTTCTTTTCTTGGCTAGGAATTCATTCTCAGTATTTAACCATACTAGAAAAGCTATGACATAACTTTTGGCTTTTTCACCCATGTACATACATTAGTTAGGAATCTCTGTGTTGGTTATCATAAAAACGAAAAATCTGGGGGCACCTGGGTGGCTCAGTCAGTTAAGCGTCTTTTTTTTTTTTTTAAGATTTTGTTTAGTTATTTGATAGAGAGAGACACAGTGAGAGCTGGAACACAAGCAGGGGAGTGGGAGAGGGAGAAGCAGGCTTCCCGTGGAGCAGGGAGCCCAATGTGGGGCTCGATCCCAGGACCCTGGGACCATGACCTGAGCCGAAGGCAGACGCTTAACGACTGAGCCACCCAGGCGCCCCAGCATCTGACTCTTGATCTAAGCTCAGGTCTTGATCTTGGGGTCCTAGGTTTGGGCCTCGCATTGGGCTCCATGCTGGACGTGGAGCCTACTTAAAAAAATAAACACTAAGGGCCCCTGGATGGCTCAGTTGGTTGAGTGTCCGACTCTTGATTTCAGCTCAGGTCATGACCTCAGGGTCTTGAAATCAAGCCCCGTGTTGGGCTCTGCACTCCGAAGGGAGTCTGCTGAAGAGTCTCTCTCTCTCTTCCTCTCCCTCTGCCCCTATCCCCCCAACGCTCGCACGCTCTTTCTCTAAAGTAAATAAATCTTAAAAAAAAAAAAAAAAAAGAGTCAGAACACAGAAGAAAGGTCTGACAAGGGGTGTGTGCCCCAGTTTTGCAGCTTTACTCAGGCAACAGGCCATAGTCACAGCATGACAGGAGGTGGTGGAAGTGCTGATAGAAAATCAAGCAGGCTTCTGGCCTGAGAAACCAAACTAGAGGTTAGGACAAATACATTCACCCAAAAGCAAGGAGGGAATTGTGAAAAGGAGAGAGGTAGAGAAAAGGATCCCTAGGTTTTTGTGCAGATTCTACCCAAGTCTCTGGCTGACCCTTCTACTGTAGACACAAAGCACCTCAAAAAGGACAAAAGAAATCAGATGAGCTCTGAGCCGTTGCCTACATCCAAAAGAGACTGTTCTCAGTTTGAGTCTCACCAAATTAATTCACTTCTAAAGCACAAAAACATCAACATTCATTGGAGGAAGATTTTAAACACACACACACACACACACACATACACATCCTCTCTACCCTTTAGACATAACAGAATTCAGAGTCTCAGTAAAACATAATATGCAGGATATAATCCAAAATTACTCTGATATATAAAGAACCAGGAAAATATGACCCATTATCAAGGGAAAAGACAGAGAGGCCAGATCAAGATGTTAGAATTAATCAGACAAGAATATTAAAGTATCTATGATAACTATACTCTGTGGAGTAAAGGAAAACATACTCATAATAAGTGAGAAAACAGTAAAACCTCAACAGATAGTTATAAAATATAAACAAGAACAAAATGAAAAAATTTCAAAAGTAAGCATTCAGTATCTGAAATTATAAAGTCATTGAATTGGCTTCATAGTAGGTTACACATTGTATAAGGGGAAAACTATAACATTGTCTTACGGTGTGTGTCTATTTAGATGTAATGCATCTGACAACAAGCATAAATAATGGCAGGGCTATTAAATGGAATCAAATGATTGCAGAATTACTACATTTTATGGGAAAGTACAATAGTAACTCTAAAAGTAGACTGTGAGGAGTTAAGAATGTTTATTTTAATTCCTAGCATAACCACTAAGTAAATTGTGCAAAAAGTATAGTTAAAATGCTAATAGGTAATCTTTCATGGATATTAAAAATCAAAAAATCCAAAAGTAGGCAGAGGGGCACCTGGGTGGCTCAGTCATTAACTGTCTGCCTTCAGCTCAGGTCATGATCCCAGGGCCCTGGGATGGAGCCCCACATCAGTCTCCCCGCCAAGCAGGGAGCCTGCTTCTCCCTCTCCCTCTGCCTGCTACTCTACCTACTTGTGATGTCTTTTCTCTGTTTCAAATAAATAAATAAATCTTTAAAAAAAAAAAAGTAGGCAGAAAAGGAGGAATAAAAAAACAGGAGAATATAGAAAACAAACAATAAAATGGGAGATTTAAATCCAACCCTATCAAAAACTACTTTAAATATTAGTGGATCAAATATTCCAATTAAAAAACAGAAATTAACAAAACAGAATTAAAAGGAAGACCCAAGTATGCTATATGCAAGAGATGCACTTTAAATATAAAGACACATGTAGGCTGAAGGAGAAGATATACCATGTGCTGTGGACTGAATGTTTCTGTCCCCCCCAAACTCATATATTGAAATCTTAACCTCCCAATGTGATGGTATTAGGAGGTGAGACCTTCTGGGGGTGATTAGGTCATGAGGGTGGAGCCCTCCTGATGGAATTAGTGCCCTATAAGAGACCCCAGAGAGCTTCCTAGTCCTCTTTCCACTATGTGAAGATAAAAGAAGTCGGCAGTCTGCAACCCAGAAGAGATCCCTCACCAGAACTTGACCGTGCCGGCACCCTGATCTTAGGCTTCCAGCCTCTAGAACTGTGAGACATAAGTTTCTGTTGTTTATAAACCACCCAGTCTATGGTATTCTGTTATTGCAGTCCAAACAAAGACACTGTGTAAACAGTTAACACAGAAAGGCTGGAATGGTATTCAGTGGTATTAGTATCAGACAAAATAGACCAGTGAAAAAGAGTACTATCAGAAACAAAGAGGGTCGGGCGCCTGGGTGGCTCAGTTGGTTAAGCGACTGCCTTCGGCTCAGGTCATGATCCTGGAGTCCCTGGATCGAGTCCCGCATCGGGCTCCCTGCTCGGCGGGGAGTCTGCTTCTCCCTCTGGCCCTCCCCCCTCTCATGGGCTCTCTCTCATTCTCTCTCTCTCAAATAAATAAATAAAATCTTAAAAAAAAAAAAGAAACAAAGAGGGTCATTTTATAACGGCAAAAGCATTGATTCATCAAGAAGACATAATAATCATAAATGTGTATGTGCCTAATAACAGAGCTTCGAAAATACATGAAGCAAAAACTGAAAGAATAAAAAGAAGAAACAGACAATTCCACAATAGCAGTAGGAGATTTTAACATCCCACAGGAAGTGGTCCATCAAGGGGCAGAAAAAAACAATGAAAATATAATCTGAACAACACTATCGACCACCTCGATCTAACTGATACAGAATGTTACAACGAACAATAGCAGAATACATATTCCTTTCAAGTATACGTGGTGCTTTTGCAATGAATCATATGCCAACCCATAAAACACCTCTCACTCAAAATAAAATTATCGAAATCATAGAATATGTTCCTTGACCATACCAAAATTAAAAATCAAGAAAAATGCATATGGTCCCCAACTTTTTATGATTCCACTTATGATTTTTCAACCTTATGATGGTGTGAAAATGATACACATTCATTAGAAACGATACTTTGAATTTTTATTTTTTCCTGGGCTAGTGCTATGCAGTATCATTCTCCCTCATGATGCTGGGCAGCAGTAGTAAGCCCCAGTTAGATCACAAGGGTCAACAACCGATCCACTTATAACCACTTTGTACCCATACGACCATTCTGGTTTTCATTTTCAGTATAGTATTCAATAAATTATATGAGATATTAAATACTTTATTATAAACCAGGCTTTGTGTTAGATGATTTTCTCCTACCGTAGGCTAATATAAGTATTCTGAGCACATCTAAGTGAAGCTATGATGTTTGGGAGGTTAGGTGTATTACATGCATTTTCCACTTAATTGTATTTTCAACTTATGATATAACCTTATCATAAGTCGAGGAAGATCTATACAGTATCTATAAAAACATCCCAAATTTTAAAATAAACAACTTCTAAATAATCTATGGGGCAAAAAAATCACAAGAGAAATTAGAAAGTATTTAAAGCAGAAAAGTAATGATGGGACTCCTGGGTGGCTCAGTCAGTTAAGCATCTCAGGTCATGACCCAGGGTCCTGGGATCGAGCCCCACGTCGGGCTCCCTGCTCCGCGGGGAACCTGCTTCTCCCTCTGCCTGTCGCTCCTTCTGCTTGTTCTATCTCTCTGACAAATAAATACATAAAATCTTTTAAAAAGGGCACCTGGGTGGTTCAGTTGGTTAAGCGACTGCCTTCAGCTTAGGTCATGATCCTGGAGTCCCTGGATCGAGTCCCACATCGGACTCCCCGCTTGGCGGGGAGTCTGCTTCTCCCTCTGACCCTCCCCCCTCTCATGCTCTCTCTGTCTCATTCTTTCTCTCTCAAATAAATAAATAAAATCTTTAAAAAAATCTTTAAAAAAACCCAGAAAAGTAATGAATATACAACATATCAAAATTTGTGAAATGCCACTAACCCAGTGCTTAGAGGAAATGTATGGGTTTATTTTATTTTTTTATTTGAGTGTAGTTGACACACAATGTTACATTAGCTTCACATGTACAACATAATGATGCAAAGAAATTTATACATTATGTTACGT